ACACACCTACACGTACACACACACACACACACACACACACACACACACACACACACATTGTCCTTTGAAACATTATTCTTTGTTCTCAATGGCTGGCGCTCTGAAAGCTGGCTGCAGGGAAGACACTTGCCTCTGTGTATCACAGACCTCGGCCTTATGTAAAGTGTCTGTTTATTTTGCAGACATCCCAGCGTTTTCATTGTTTTTTAATGAGCGTGCGAACTCCCTCGGTGTCAACATGTAAGAAAGAAGGAATCCTTGGACATGTTTGGACAAACTAACATGACAGCATTTGGAGAGTCTGAAAGATGCTGCACGCAGTTTGATGTGCATTTTTCCTTAGCAGCTGCCTAAAGTTGTCCTTTGTTACTGTGAGACAACCAAATACAAAGCAGTTTAAATGTATCCATTCACTGTATTTTAGAAAGCAATATTTCTGCTCAGTAAGCTGAATGCAACTAATTTTAAAGCAAATTTAAAATTAGGTGTAGACAGTTATGCTTCGATTGTGCATGAAATGATGAGAACATGAATGAGGACAGAAAGCTGAAGCATAAATCATGCTTTCCTCTCTAAGAGATTCACACATGAGCTGCTTCTATTCCACCCATCAATATCCTCCAATGAGGCTTTTCCTAAAGGCCAGCTTTGGACAGCTGGGAATGAGAGATTGGAGCTTTCACAGAAATCCCTCTGTCTTCAGTGTCTTATGAGGCACAAACTCTAACAGCTCAGCCTGCTTCTGTGATGTACAGAAAACAATAACAGCTGTAAGACTGGAGGCACAAATCTGCAAACTCTTGGAGCATTGTGCACCTTTTAACAATACAATGTGTCTAAATCTGGAATTTTAAAACATTTTTTTTGTTTAAATGTTTTGTTTGAAAGGCAGGTTGGACCTTAAGCTGAGACACTAAAGACGGATACAGTAACATCTTTAACGGAGATCCCCGTACTTTCTCGGATAATTACTTATTTGAAGAGATTTGTATATTTTTATATTACAAAGTTGGAAAGGGAGCTGTTACATATCAAAATTTGCATTGGATATAGCCAGGCTTCATTTTGGTGGCACAAAGGGGATTTTTCTATATCTTTTTACCACTCCATAAATCCAAAAATACTGTCAACAGCCACTAAAAACTCAATTTTCTCCATGTTTTCAAGAATAAAACATTCTATAAATCAGACCAGACTAAGTGGCATATGGACAAGCCAGACTGTAAAAAAGTTCAGGACATAGAAAGCTGGAAAAAAAAAAGTTTGATAAAATAAACGCCTAGAAAAAAGCCCAAAAATGTTATTTTTCAAAAGACCTTTTTCTATATAAATGTATCTTTTTTTCAATTTCTGAGAATGGTCTCTATTTTATTTTCATTTATTTCTTAGCTGCTTATTGGATGTGTCATATAACATTTAAGGGTTTCTCTGTTTATAGCTGATGGCTGTAAATAAGTGTTTTATTTTGAGTGTTAACCAAAGGCTATCAATCCCTGCAACACATTATTGACATTACCAAGCTGCTTCTAGTTTAGATGATGCAACATGAAATTACTTGATTTAAATACTGCAATTAAGCTACTGCGATATTGCGCTTACAGTGAAAGTTAATGATATGTCTAGCCGATCCACAGCATTCAGTTTACGTTATATTTCACACTTTTTTTTGACTATGTGTGTGTTGCTGGTATTTAGCGATGTTGGAAACCACCTTTCTACAGCACCCAGTGACCCAACACCAAACTAAATATATCAGGGACAAACATAGAGTCTTGGAAGCTTTGCCTGCCCAATACTATAAACTACTTCAAGGTCCAAAATGAACATCTAATCTGTGCAGAGCAGCACTAAAATGTCAAAAAATAGACATGTTGGCATGGCAGGTAGAAAAGATGATCTTTATTTATGCACCGAGCAGAAGCTTTTGCGTTATTTCATGAGAGTGGTAGCTGGAGAGATATGAGATCACAGTGTCAGCCTGAAAGTAAGCATAGAAATGTTGAAGACATTTAGGAAAGGTTCATTTTGATCTGATGGAAGAAGCCTCACAAGGATCTCTGCTTTCTGTTTCTTCTGTCCATGACGCAGTAGCATGTTTGGTATTTCTTTACAAAAATTACAAAAATTCTACTTCAGCTTTTAAACTTTTTTGATGTGAGGTGGAGTTTTGTGTGAGAAGGTTTACTTGCTGTAGGTTTGAAGCAAAAGGATGGCAATGACTCGATTTCAGACTTGTTCTGCCCCATTTTCCAAAAAAGTAGCAGCTCCAGGGTCTTATTCAATTTGCAAAGTGTTTAAAAACCAAAGGAGAGGTATTTCTGAACCCTCTGGTGCCGTTTAACAGTTAACCACTATACCCTATCCTCCCTGCTGTAATTCTGTTGTCCCCCTTAAGAGCATATACATAAAGATAAAGAAGTATGCATATTCTTATCTGAAAGATAAAGATAAGATGAAAGATTGTTGTGTCCATTATAATTATCTACTCCTGTAGAGTGTTTCATCTGCTTTTTTGAAAAAGTAAAATTACAAATCTATGAATATCTTGTATGTGCTGTGTGTAAGTCTATGCAGGTCTGAGAATTAGAACTTGCCTTGTTTCCTAGAAAAAGCTCTTCAACCTCTGATTCATTGCTTCTCATTAACAATTCATGTATCACTCCTCATTACAGCCATTAATGTGTCTGTTTTTAAAAAGCATTCGTGGGTTATCCAGGCATTTTATAGCCGTACCAGCACAGCACCATGAAAAAGTTCACTTCACATAATAATAATAATAAATAACAGTAGTGATAAGACACCAACAGTTGCACACTGCAGGTAGATCAGGGATAACATGACAGAAAATGAGTTTTGATCATTTACTTGTGGCTCATTCCCAAGTAATATAACTGTTTTTGATGATTTCCTTTTCTATAATGTGACAGCAAGTTAAAAATCTGATACATTTGGCTTGTTGCTTCTTGAATACTACATCATACTGCATACTAATGGCCCACACAGACTGGCAGAACTCATATAGGGCATGCTGCGTGGTTTGCTGCTGCATCTGCAAGCTGCTTTGCATCCTTCCTCTGGGTTCTACTTTTAATGCTGTGCTCGATTTAATCAATGTCATATCATTTTCATTGGGTTTACATAACGAAAATGACATTTTTGAATAAAGACCTTTGCTCTTGAATCTTGAACTGCTGATGGTAATAACAGACTGATTTTGACAGTAGTGTTCCTGACAGAACTAACTATGGTCACATGCTTTTCATATACACACACCAACCACTGTATTAGGTACACATCTTTAAGTGCTCGTTAGCACAAATATCTAATCAGAGAATCAGAATAGGGATAATATAAATGTGGTATGGTTGTTGTTGGAAAACAGGTTGGTCTGAGTATTTCAGACTCCGCTGATCTACTAGGATTTTTTTGCAGTTTGCAGATTCTTAGCAGTTCTTTGGGCAAAAATGCATTTTTAATGCCAGAGATCAAAGGAGAATGGTCAGATTACTTTAAGCTGGTAGGAAAGCCAAAGTATCTGAAATAACCACTTGTTACAACCAATGTTTGCAAAGGAGCATTTCTGAATGCACATGCCCAGCCTTAAAACAGATGGACAGCAACAGAAGACCTTACTTTGTGCCACTTCTGTCACCTAAAAACAGGAAACAGAAATGTTGCCTGGTCAAATGTGTCTTGATTTTTCCTGTGATATTTGGATGATAGGGTCACAATTTGGCATAAGCATCAGGAAAGCATGGATCTAACCTTGCTTTTATCAATGATTCAACCTGCTGGTGTTGTAATGGTGTGGGGGATATTTTCTTGGCCTTTAGTAACAACTGAGCACCATTTAAACAACACAGCATACCAGAGTATTATTACTGCCTTTGGGATGTTGTGCAACAGGTGATTCATGGATGTGCAGTCAACAAATCTGCAGCAACTGTGTGATGCTATCATAGCAATATGGACCACTCTCTCCAAGGAATGTTTCCAGCACCTACCAGTTTATAACGTTTACTCAATTCAAATTTGCAACTAAGATATACTCGAGACTCTATTATAACTAGCTAATTTGGTGTTACTGTGTCACTGGTGATTTAGGCTCAGTACTGCGGTGCCTAGGAAGTCTCAGAGACATGATATCATGACTGCACACTAACTTGTTGAAAGGGAATAGAATAGAATAGAATAGAATTCAACTTTATTGTCATTGCACATGTCACAGGTACAAGGCAACGAAATGCAGTTTGCATCCATCCAGAAGTGCTTTAGCCATGATATAGATGTATTACAAATATATATTAGCAATAACATAGATGTGTGAGTATATTACAGAAATGGGTCTATTATGGTATGTTATAATGTACACGGTATGAAGTATGTTATGAATATGCTATAACTGTAAGTATGTACAGGCTGTAGTGAGTACAAGCTATGAACAGGATATAAATATGAAAAACTATACAGAAATATGAGCTATACAGCTATACAGAAATGTGAACTATGCAAGTTATAAACAGTTGTAGAATTAAAAATTATCGAATTGTACAGAATGATTATTTACACAGAATTATACAGTAGTGCAGTTAAGATAAGTGAAATATGTGGATAATTTCTGCAGAGGCTACATAAAGTGCTAGTGGTTGTGAGTGGTGGTTCAGTCCATCTTATTATTGTGTGTATGAGGGTACAGTTGTCCATTGTGTGTGTAGCTGGTTGTGGGTGTGTGTATGTCCAGTCCATGTGTTAACGTGGGTCAGATGTCAGGAGGCAGAGTTCAGGAGTCTGACAGCTGTGGGGAAGAAGCTGTTCCGGTACCTGGAGGTCTTAGTACGGAGGCTCCTGTAGCGCCTCCCAGAGGGCAGGAGGGTGAAGAGTCCATGTGATGGGTGACTGGGGTCTTTGATGATTTTCCCAGCCCTTTTCAGACACCGCTTCCTGTAGATGTCCTACATCTACAGGAAGCTCCTCAGAACACGCTCTGAGAACACGCCCGGGGATGCCATCAGGACTTGCAGCCTTGTGGACATTGATCTGAAAAAGTCAGATTAAAAAAAAACTGCAGTAATTTTTGTTTTCAGTTGCCAATGTTTCATAGTTTTTAAGGACAAACCAAAGGAAATACAAAGAGCTGGGTGGTGGGTGTGCTGTGCGCCTGGTATAAATTAAGTTGTGCAATGTTTTGTGGCCTGTAAGAGACCTTGGTTGTCAAAGATGAAAGTCTCTCTGATAAAAAACAAAGATCTTGCTCTCATATTTGGCAGCCTCTGTCTGCCACCAATAAACAACGTGTGTCAAAGACACATTGTTTACATTGTTTTACTCCTGCACTACTCAGTCCAGATTGAAAAGAGTGCAATTTAAACATTATAATTTGCTGATTGGAATAATAAAGATCATTTTCCATCCCTCGTCATCACCATTCCTTATATTATAGCTTTTTGTAAACTAGCCATTTTATTTTTAAGTGTCCCTGATAGGCTGGACTAGTGTGTGGCTTCCATCAGCGTTACCAGGTGGCCTGCAGTCAAAAGAGTGATACTATCTGTGTGTAGCACAGGCAGCCACACACAGAGCAGCGACTATCGGGAGGTTCGCAAAGCTGCTGCTACTCTACATGACACCACAGTGTACAGGACTCTCAGCGCTCAGATGGTTTCTTAAAATATGGCCTATCAAACCTGACATCATCTTTTAGGCATTTTCTGCTTAAGGTCTGCATCCCTCATCGCAGCTTCTGCTTACTGCGCTATAACACGTGTCTTGTGATGACAGAGCAAATCAAAGCAAATCATTTAAAAAGGAAAAAGAAAAATCACAAAACACCGACAACTGGTGTACTTTTAGCCAGACAGCTACAGTAGTTTACATTCCTAATTTCGTGGCTATGGAGGCAGTCCTATTCATCACTCTAAATGGGAAGCTAGTTAAAAAAAAGAAAGGAAATCTGGACCAGGATAAAAGGCTTTTCTTTGTAAGTGTGTGAATCTTTTCATAGGCTCACTTCTAATGGCATCTGACGGAGATGTGGCTCATTGTCATGCACCCCATGGTGCCACCAGCCTGTGGTCGGCATGCAGCGCTCACTGATGTGAGCTACACCAAGACTGGAGAGAGGATCAAAATGAAAACACTGGTTTCAATATTCTTACAGAATACAGTGAAATAAGTGCCATCCAAATGATCCAAGTTATGGATGAAACCACATGGTACAGATGAGACGTATGCATATTTATCAGCAGCTGCGTAGCATAGAGCAATAAAAAAAAAAGGAAATTCGTAGTAAATGTCATAATTCACTGCTACATATGCAGATATATTGTTGCAAATTTATGAGTCATAACATCTCTTAATTAGCAAGAGCAGATTTCTGCACATTTCTTGATGCAATCTATAAAATAAAAATAAAATCTATAAAATGGCAAAGGGCTGTTTGCAATACAATTATTGCAATAAAATCTGAAAGTGCTTTCTGTGTATTATATTTGCTTAGATTTGTCACACTATTTACCACACAGGAAGCCGCTTTGATTGAGGATTTATGGTCACATTTTGTCACATTTGCTGTAGATATTTGTGTTCGTATTGTTAAATAAATAAAGCCGTCATCTGGCTATGACATTACGTTTTTACAGTCTTCAGATCATCTGAAACCAAAAAGCGCTTCAGTATAGGCGTCGCACAGTACATCAGACAGAAATGTCTGTCAGCCTTTGTGAGTGTGACATTTTCTTTGTTTCAGAAATCTAATTAAATTTTGCAATGTAAACAGCTCAGAGGCTTTTCCTCTGGGCCACTCACTTATTTAATCAGGCACTGTGACAAAAAGCTCAAAGATATTTACAGCAACAGCCTGGGTGAGTAGTTGCAAGAGCAGAGAGGTTTACAAATTCACACTTTAAAGCTCTCCACCAAACACTTGTGTTGGCGAGGTGCCACTTCTCAAGAGGAAGCAGCCAGTGGTTTAGTGCCTTGCTTAAGGGCATGTTGATGTAAGTCTTTCAGAAAGATGAGAGCGTTCACTTACTTAGTCTGTCTTTGTTGCATGTAAATTATTCGTTTTTGTCAAGTCTGTGCAACATCCCAAGTTACTACTCACTTTCCCCATGTTCACGTATATATCTGTATACTTTGAGTTGATGCCCACGGACCTGGACAGTTGCACATGTCTTGTTTTGGCTATGCACCAGGGCAGACTGGATTAGACTGGATCAGATTTAAGATTTAATCTGTTGGTGCTATACTGAATAACACGGGAATTTGTAGCCTCATCTGCCACACTACTCAAAAACAAGTACCGTACAGCTGGAAATGGCTACGATCCCACCTGAATGATTTATTTTCACGGCGGAAGAAAAGTATGACCAGCAACAAACACTCACAGAATTTCTACATTTTTTCATTTGTTCAAAGTGTCTTCCAGCACTTGTTGTAAACACAGACATAGTAAATGCTGTCCATTTACTGTACAAAGTGTTTGTGAGGACTTTCTGTAGCAAAAGAGACTCTATCAATTTACACTGATCTATTTATTCTGGAGACACGTGGACTCGGTTTGAACTGTTCTACAGCCAAAAAAGTGTCCGTCTTTCTTTCTTTCTTCTTAACATGTAAAATCCTGTAGTTTCGGGTAAAAATCGCTTCTATTTGCCAGTGCTGTCAATTCTTCCTGTGCGCATGTGTGTGTGTGTGTGAGAGAGAGGTGGAGTTTAATATGCTTCCTTTCCTTTTCCTCTCACTGCATGACTTAACCCTGCTATGGATCACAGAGACATGACTTCAAGCTGAATAAATCAGGGTCATCGTGAAAAGAACAGGAGACCTTGAAATATCTCTCAGATTCTCTCGTAGCCCTTTCTCGCTCTTTTCAAGATCTGACAGTGAACATCTGGGAGTAGATGCAACTTTACTATCATATTAGCCACACTGAAAAATTGATTTAAAAACACATTTATTTTGGACATTTCTTGTGTGATTTTGTGGAAGCAAGAACCAAGAGTGTCTCTTTAAAAAACAGCTGGTTGGAATTGCAGGTGTGAGTTACACATGCTGAGCATGAAGAGGGTCGTGATGGTCTCAAACTCTGACCCACCATCCACAAGTACCAGTCAGGCTGGCGCCACTGTCTGCAGCTTGGCCAAACGAGATGAGCTGGTGGGATGAGAGGTGTCTCCTGTCGTATTTATGGCCTCCTTAACCCTCCTTACCTTAACAAATAGCATTACATCACTGACCCTATTTCAGACCAACCGCAAAGCACAGCGCATGGCCAACACATTTCAACACCGTTTAACTGTCACTTGAATTTGCACCTGCCTGACATCCACTTTGCATCGCGCTGCGGGATTATCAGGAGCAGTGAATAATAAGAGATCCTCCACGTATTTGTTGTGGATTTGTCTGTGCATAATTCTGCGTATCATGACAGGCGGTGGCAGCTGCTGGAGTATGCAGTGCACTCTAATACAAAGTGATGATGATGATGAAACCAGGGTGACCTGATTTATTAGTACCCAAGCATCGGCAGGGGAGTCACAGGAAGTATTTCCATATGGATTTTTTTTTGGGGGGGGGGACTTGACATGGGAGGCTTGGAGGCCTCACTCTCTAAAAAAACCCCAAAAAAAAAACCCAGGTCCATCCTTTGCATGTGGGCGGAGGGTCTAAAATAAAATCAGCTGTCACTATCTGCTTGTTGGACAGAAGTGAACACATAATACTGGAGCTGGTCTCCATCACTGACTGGGATTTGCTTTTGGGTTGGACAGACCCCGCATGCCGAGGGTGCAGTGGCCTTTCCTTTGGGATTTTACTTGCTGAGTTTTTATTTTATTGTGTTTATAATTCACCATCTTCCTTCTCTGGTAGGTAATGAGCAGTCTCGGGGAGGTATTTGTGTATGTGGAATGAATACATGATTGATTTTGACTTAAGAAATTCTGAATGCATAGAAACTTTTATGTGATACAGAACATTGTTACATTGTTGTCTTTTTGATACCTGCAGAGGAAACTATGGATTTGTGTTTGTTTGATTCAACACATCAATATTGCCTTCATGCTGAGCACCTTTTCACTCAAAATACAGGACACTGGGCCAAAATATAAATCAAACCGTGACTAAAATGCTGAATTAACGCTGAGGATTTTTTTTTATTAGCTCGAGGAGAGTATACATTCATTACTTTAACTAATTCCAAAGAGACCAAACTCTGAGCTGCTAAGCTGTTTGTACCAAGGCCAACCCTCTAGGAGATATGTCGCCAGCTGAGTGATGAAAAAAGGGAATACTGACGAGTAGTTGGGCATACACTGATGTGTATATATGGTTTATCTTGATGTTTTTGTAAAGGAAAATCGCGTCCCCCATAGCTTTCCTCTATATTTCAAAGAGAAACACGACCCATCACACTTAAGTTTAAAATAGGCGTGATTTATTTTTGCACGGCGCCGAGATTACTTCACTTTCTTGTTATTTGAGCTCTCAGTCAGTGTCATGAGATAGCCTAAGCATGTTTTTTCTACAAATTTTTTGTTCCTATACCGTAGTGATTGAGAGTCAATGGGTCTATGGCCTTGGAGGTATTTCAGTGGGTTTTTTTGTTTGTTTTGTTCTGTTTTTTTTTTTTTCAGTTTAAATGCTATAAATTGAGATTTGAAGTAACAGTAATAGCCTAATTTAAAAGTATTTTTAATGCACTAGCTCATTTACATGTTAACATTCCTCCAAGGCTAAAATAGTAGACTGGTGAGCTACAGATCAAAAATAGTCAGCAGGGAAAATAAACAAATATGCTAATGGAAAAACTAGTCATTAAAAAATGCAATGATATTTAGTTATTTACTCACAGATTACCATATTAAAGAAGTTTGTCAGCCCACTATTGAGCTTGCATATCTGAATTCCTGTTCTCTGGAGCTTGGGACTTGAATAAGAGATACTTAGGAAATGTGTGGATATAGTTATTAGAATAGGATGCTTATACAATCATAATTCATAAAAGCAAAATCTTTGTGTTGTTAGTGTTATTTCAACTTCCATTGTTAGTAATTGGTCATTATATGAATATTTTGATGTTGTACTTTCAACTGTACAGCTATAAAAATGCAAAATCTATCCTTCTTATTTCCACATCCACAGAAATGAGGTGTGAATGCTTTCTATGTCCCAGACATAGAAGGGATGCTCTTTTCAGCAGCGTTGCTATGTTCAATTTATTATTTGGTTTCTGGAGGCTAATAACGTTCCCAATATAAAACATTTGTAAGTTACCAGGTTATACATAATAATAACTAACAGGGCTCCAGCGCACTCATGTTGCACTCCTGTTTTGACCTGATGAATAATGTAAGTGCTTTTAAAGGGGGGCAGTTCATTAATTAAAAGATACATTAACTTTTCTGCTTATGATCCTCTTAAAAATTCATTGAGATCTAAGTGACCATTTCAATGCACCACCATACACCTGAGGTACACTTCATTTCTGTTCCACTCAGGAGCCATGGGCCAACATGACAGCAAAGCATGATGATGAAATCCACTTTGTAGAGCTGTTTATTTCCTTTTAAATAAATCCTGCACATCCACCAACTTGATGTCAGGCAACAGGTGTGCAAATGTTTTAAAGGACGTCATTTGTGGGAGCACCACCTGCATCGTAGCAGTCCCCTGTTGTCGCCAAGAATATATTTACAAATGAATGATTTTATGTGCTTTCAGTTGGAAATACTTGTACAATATTTCCTAGAAGATCAATATATAATCCATTTATATACAACTTAAATTTGTATATTTATACCCAAACTCTTGTTCTTTATGCACAAATGACAGGACAATCATCAAAGCTTTAGATACTTTTAATAATGCTTTAACTGAATTTTTTGTAGCGTCACTGTGATGTCATGTTATCCTTTAATAATTTGATGACAGCAAATAAAACACACAAATAGCAAATTCTTAAACAGTTGGCTTCTTGTGCCTTAGCTGCTGGCAGCAAAGTTTTAACCGGGGCAGGACTTCCTGTAAGATTTAAACCAGAGGAATCGGGATTCGCTCTGTGGACTCAGAGGTCATCCCACCGGTCAAGTGTGAGGCCATGTACCAGGCA